TAATTATCATATGAATGTAAAGAATCCTGTTATGTAAATTAGACCAAAAATATTAAATTTTGCCAATAATCTGTAAGTAACTGTATTTTGGACACCTGTGTTTAAAGCAATAAATTTAGTACCGATTCTTCACCTACTTAACCTCAGTTATTAAGTGTTAAACCCATTTAATTTAGTACACTTCACGAAGGAGTGACTTTCGGAAAAAAAATCTGAGTATCGCTGAGAAAATATAAAAAGCTATAAATAAGTATTGTGACATCTAGAAGAAAGTAGTAATCATTATTATGACTACTAGTAGTAACAAAGAGTTTTCTGTAAGTGTGATTCAAATAAGGTTTTCGCAACATATGATAACTAGAACTAGGAATTTTTACTTAACATGTAAAAATTAATAGTTTGAAAGGAATAAGATTCCAAGCTAAGGGGAATTAAAATAGATACACTTTGTTGTTTCAAAAACCAGGTTCAGACTATCAATTACCAGAATTTCACAAATTCCTAAATGATGTTCAATATCATTTCTATTAAATCATCAAGAAATTAATATCACTTTTTTAGATGAAAAAACCCGAACAACGTATATATCAAAACAAAACATTTATTAAATGAAATAGTCTCCATTCTTATCGATGATGCTTTTCCATCTTAGAATCAGGTTGATAAGCCTTGATTTTAGAAATCACTTGCTTTTGAAACAAAAAAACATGTCGACGTCCTCTTTAACACCTTCCACATTTGCATACGTTTTCACGTTAAGATGGTGTTGCAGCGAACGAAAAAGATGGTAATCTGATGGTGCCATATCTGGAGAATATGGTGGGTGGGGGAGAACTTCCCAACCCAACTCCATATTCTTGTGTTGCGTCAAACGTTCCAGATGTGGACGTGCATTGTCATGGAGAAGAAGAACACCTTTCCGATTGACGAGTGAAGAGCGTTTCTGATAAAGAGCTTGATTTAAACGTTCCAGTTGTTGATTATAGATCTCTGCATTGACAGTTCGCTGTAGATTGAGGAGTTCGAAATGAATTACTCCTTTGATGTCCCAACGAATGCAAGGCATCACTTTCTGCGAATAGAGTTCTGGTTTGGGGGTGGGAAGTAGTTTTTGCCTAAAACTGAGCCATTGCTTTTGGCGTTTAATATTCGCATAGAGAATCCAATTTTCATCACCGATGACAATTCTGTCCAAAAATGGTTCACGCGCATTACGTGCCAGAAGAGACGATGCAACGTTCACACGTTGGAAACAATGATCATCGGAGAGTTCGTGAGGCACCCAAACACCTTCTTTATGGAGTTTCCCATATTCCTTAGATGTTTACGTTATGTTTCATGAGAAACATGCAATTTCAGGGCCATTCCACGAGTGTGTTGTCTTGAGTTAGACTCAAAAAGCGTCTTCACAGCATCAGTATCAATTTCAACATGTTGGCCCCTGCCATTACATTTTTTAAGGTTAAAGTCATCTGAACAAAATTTGCTGAACCATCGTTGACGTTCAAAATATTTCCATAAACTTTTTTGATATTCTTTATGGCTACAGAGGCGTTGTTTCCCTTCTTGTATTCAAACAGCATTACATGCCGAATGTGTGTTTCGTCGTGTGCCATCACTATAAGGGGTTAAAGTATACTAAACTTTACACATTATATAGGCTACGCTAACTTGACGTTTAGGCAGTTCGTTTGGCTATTATACGTGATGTACGTTTTTTGGGGGAGTGGTTAATGAAAGTGTTCCAAAACGCGACATTAATTTCTTGACGACCTAATACTATAAATAATATAGAAATCATCAACTATCGCAGTGACATTGTTGATGAAAATTGTTGTACAGTATCATAGAGAGAAATGTTTAACTTTTGGTTTTCATTTCATCTAAAATTCATCTAAATAAAACAAGTGTTAACTAAATGAATTGAAACGTTAAAAATGTAGTCTCAAAATCATCATAACAATTGTGGAAAAGTGAGAGCATGGTTCATTGGTATGAGTATTCTTATTAATGTTATTCTGAAGAAATATGCATTCATTTTTATTAAATGGCATGCTAGAAACTAGTTTTATATTGAAAACTAAATAATGTTCAAGAAATATCTGTAAAACATATCTATGTTGATATTTATTCTAATTGTCTCCCCAGCCTTATTGTGATAAGTTTTTTGCATCTCTAGAAAAACTTTAAGATGAGAATATATTGTTAGTTTGGCTTTTTTCCCACTTTTATAAACTGTAAGTTTTCAGTTATATCAGGTAATGATCTTAATCCTTCCTTTAATCATGTTTAATAACGATCAGTTCTACTCCTTTGATCCACCACCGTTTGTCCTCTATTCCTGAGAGTAACATTTCTATACAAAGTACTCAATCTTGCACAAAATTTATATTTTTGTTTATATTTTTATGCGAAACGGAACGCAACATAAACATTATGATCAAAGAACATAACAATCCCCATCACACATGTACGAACACGGCACAACAAATCAACATCCAATTAACATCAATAACTTTAAAATATTATGCAACGAGAACAACATTAATAGAAGAAAAATAAAAGAAACATTAATTATTCGTGAACTAAAACCTAATTTGAATCTAAACCCAATTGTCACCTTATATGTTTTTTAAGTTGGAACAAAATGCTCGCGCAGTATTTCAAAAAATAGAGACAGTTACCTGATGATGGCCACACGAATGGTCGAAACGTTGTAAAATAAATAAATAAACAATCCACTCAAAAGCTGTATCTCTGGACTTGTATTTAAAGTATATAGTGGATTTCCTCTCCTCACAACAAACCCATACTTTATAAAGACGCTTAGTGTTATTCGACAGAGTGTTTGAGTCTGGTACGAATATACTGAGTTGTTGCTGAGATTTCTATATAAAACTCACAAAAGATGTTTTTTTGTTTGTTCATATATTTATTGTCTGTTGTTTAGATTGTTGAAGGTTTCAGTACGAAACTGGGGTCTGAGTGCTAATATTTTGTTACTAAGCTTATTTTCAGGCTGTGTTTTACGTATGTCTTGAAAAATTATTTTAGATAAACATTTAACTTAGAGAATTTCAGAAAGCATTATCGTTATTTTTGTTTTTCTTCCATTGAAAGCACATCACAGATTGTTTCATATTTGAAAACACGTAGGATGACGTAGTTTCCGTGTCTATGAGCAAGTATTCCAATAAAGAGCATTGTATTGTGAAGTTAGTTTTCTGGTTGAAATAGTTAATATGTAAGGGGTTGTTACTCAGGGCTTCTTAACAACACGGCCATCATATCATTTACACATTGTTTCCAAGTTTAGTAGGCATAATTATGACTTGAAATGTTCCATGTAAACATTAATTATGTGTGATAATAATTCGGAATTCATATATTTTATCTTAGCGGTGGATAATAATTTCCAAGAAAACGTCATATTATTGCCCAAAAATTAGCTAAAATTATGGTCGGTTTTTGGTATTTTTATTTAGAACTGGAGTTATTAAAGACAGTAACTAAGAAAAAAGGTTACTTTTAACCTTTACTATTTACGCTAAGATTTGTGCTGTGCGAACCTATGACTTTGAGAATTAACAGCATTAATTGAATGCAAAGTTTTTTGGATTATATAGACTGTGTTCCAATGTTTGAGTCGATAATTCGTTTTTTATTCAGACTTCTTAACCTGTGTTCAAAGCGATTTTCTAAAGTATTAAGTGTTTCCAATTGCTAATTTAAGTCAGTTCACATAAGTATTTACTATAGTTTTAATAATAAAGGGTACAATGACGTTATTTAACTACAGTTTTAATAATAACGAGTACAATGACGTTATTGTTTAACAGTCTATAAAATTCCTGTTTTTATTTTGAATATTAATCATTTTTACAAGCGAACCTATCTGAAGAAAACTGAAAACATTTGAATGTGATCTTTCTAGAAAGTGCAAAGATAGAGAGCTAAGAAACATTCCAAACATTTTCCTTTGAGTAATGGCTGTTGTAATGTGTCCCCTAGTACGATTTTTACATAATTTATAACCCTTTAATGCTAAGTCTATAATTCAGGCGAAGTCTAAGCGAAATTACGAATCTCTCCAAAGTCCGATAAATATAAGCACAGCGTTTCACTGTTGTCTAAGTAACGCTGAAGAACAGATTGCCTTTGTTAAAATCAATCTACACATAATGGAATATCAATACCAACACAAATGCAGCAGAATACAATGAATTGGTTATGTTTTTATAATATGAAATATTTTTCAATTGTTATTGTAAAATTATTGGATTACAATCTTCGTACATCTATTGGATCTTTGCATACGTAGTAAAGAGACTGAAGTTTTGGGGTACTTGAATAATTTAAATTTTAATTACAAACGCAAGCAATATTTTTCATCATATCGGATTATTAAGTTTGGTTGGTTTGACATTACTTGTTATCAGTGCGTAATTTCAAGGAAAAAGTCATCGGATCCCCGTTGACAGGTGGAGAAAGGAGGAAATATTATGTTATTGAAGCTACTATTTTGGATGGTGGTTAGAAAAGAGTTATGTAGTTGATACGAGACGGTCTTAAAATCAATAAAGGAGTTTCCTTTTTTAGATTAAAAAAATCCAGTACAGTTAATGGATCTCAGATCTGACAGAAATTAAGCAAAGCTTAAATATAACTGTGTATATTACTTTTTGAATTCATTATGAAAACGGTATTATGCATAAAATAAAATTCGTTTTTCTCATAAATGTTTTGAAGGGGGTTTATTTGGTGCAAATGTTTCAACTCCAGTGCTAGAGTTTTATTTTCATTTGTAATTTTTTATAGTAAGACAAGCCTGTGACTGTGTACAGCTACACATCACAAAATATAATATATATATACATGATTTTACAAATTGTAAAAATTGTACTGATTTAATTGCCTACTAAATAAAATAGCGCATACTTAGTACAAATATTACTATTGGTAAGGGAAACTACTAATACTCTTAAAAATTGGAATCTTACCTTCTGATATAAGACGCTCTTATACTTCCCAGCAAAAGTTGTTGGATTTTCCCTATTGTTCAGTTTTGACACAACTAAAGAGGTCGCTATCTTCACCTTGCATCTTCCTACAATCTAAAAATTCGTGCTTTGTAGTAGCTTCCTTAAAACAAAAGATATAGATATAATATTTTATCGTAGCAAATAAGAGCATATTCTTACGCTATTAGGTATAACATATATTATTTAGCAGGAAATGAGTTGAACTAGATTGTTATTATGCAATTATCCGTTATAAACACTGATTTTAGTTTGTTTCTTTTTTTTTATTTCGCGCAAAGCTTCTCGAGGGCAATCCGTGCGAGTTTTTCCTAATTTTGAAATGACAAACTACAGAGAAAGAAGCTAATCAACACAACCCACCGAATAGTGGGATTTGACCGTCATTCTTCTAACGCATTCACGACCTAAGGTGTGGAACGTGACTTATTATTATTTTTAGCAGTAATGGTCTGCTAACTTTAGCTCCACAGGCTGCACGCTAACCAGTGGGCCGCATTCGTCCCCCACTGATCAAAGGGAACACAAGTTAAGCAACAACATTCTTGAACTGTTAATCATTAAAACACTGTTTATCCAAAGCAAATGACATTGTAATATATTTACACTAGTATCCTTTATAAACACTGTGATGTGTAGTGTTAGACTTTACAAGTTACTCACACTTAGAGTAGATTTAACCTTACAAAACAAATAGGAATATATTACACAAGCTGAAATACCCATCAATAGACGGGAAATGTTTAAACTTAATTAAAACAATGTAAGTT